GAAACTGGACTAACTGGCACACCGCCGTCAACGTCCTGGAACTGAACTGAACTGAACTGTCCGGTCATGTGTCTCCACTGCTATCTGAATGTTTATTGGGTGTTTAACTTGACTGCGTACCACCGGAGGAATTCTGGACGCTCGATTGGATGTCGTTCTTTTCTGTTTTGTGCAAACCTAAGTGAACTGAACTGATTTGAATTTGTTTAACCTGGTCGATTGAACCACTTGGTTGGCGCGGGTTTTGCCTGAAGGTGCCGTGCATGTTCGTCCCTGATCTTCGATTGTTATCTTTTAGAAGTTATTCAATATGGCAGTCGGTGGACAAAAAAGTGGATCTAAAGGCTCCAAAAAGAGTGGCAAAAAGAAGACGTAAGCGTATGTTTTCAGATCACGTATTTTCTCAGGGCCGATCCATTTTCTAAGAAAGAATGGTATGATATAAGAGCTCCCACTATGTTTTCCAAGCGCACTTGTGCAAGGACTCTGGTTACTCGTACCCAGGGTACTAAGATCGCTAGTGAAGCTCTGAAAGGTCGTGTAGTCACCCTGAGCTTGGGTGATTTGCATGAGAAGACGGAAGAAGTTTTTAGGAAGTTCAAACTGCAAGTTGAAGACGTCCAAGGACGTCAGTGCCTCACCAACTTCCACGGACTGGAGCTTACTCGTGATAAGCTTTGCTCGGTTATCCTTAAGTGGCGTTCCACGATCGAGGCTCACGTCGACGTCAAGACCACCGACGGTTACTTGTTGCGATTCTTCATCATTTCCTTCACTCCTCGAGTCACTCGCTTCAAGTGCCGTCACACTTATGCGCAGGCTACTCGTATCAAGCGTGTGCGAGCACGCCTGGTGGAAATTATTCAGCAAGAAGTGGCGTCGTGTGACTTGAAGGAAGTTGTTAATAAGCTGTAAGTGATTCATGGAATTAATATTGTCGTAGTATTCCAGACTCAATCGCCCAAGATGCTCGTAAATCTGCCTCGTGGATTTTCCCGCAAACCGATACTCTCATCAGGAAGGTTAAAGTACTGAAAAAACCAAAAATGGATTGTAAGTGATGGATTGCATTTTCACACATACTTGTAGTGGCTCGTTTGATGGATCTCCACGGTGAATCGAAGAGTAGCGGATCCGGCGAAGGGGTTTCTCGTCCGGATCACTACGAACCGCCTACGGTGGATTCTGTGTAACGTGAAATAAATCTTCATTCGGATGTGTTCGATCTTCTGTGTTCCCTGGAGATCATCGCAGCCCCGAGTGTTACTGTTCCTTTGAGGCCGCGTGTATACTAATTACCTGACAACTGTTTTTTGTTGTTTGAGCCAGTGTTTAGCAAAACTCGGGTTTATGTGCTATCCTGCTTGATTTCGTTAATAAAATAGGTTTTTGGATGCAAGAACACTAAGGCTCAAGGTAGATTAAGCAGCGTGATAAACGCGACTGAATGGAAAAGTTTCAGTAGGTGTATCCGTATTCTCGCTCCATCGGCCGTTCATTGAGCTGTGTTGAATTATCGGAAATCACATGGCTCCTTCTTTAGTTCATGTAGGATTAGGGACAGTTTTGTCCCTCTGCAATCGTTCGTTCTTATCTCCGGCACATGTCTCTGACTAAAAGTCTAATTTTGTGGAAATTCTTTCGTATAATAGTTGCGTATGTGGGAGTTTCTTTTTGTACAACCAATAACCGTGCGCTTTCGTGCTTCCCCTTTGGTTTGTGATTTTTGCTACCCATTAGGATGAAGGGGTAGGAGGATAGCAATTTGAAAACAAAATCGAAAGGAAGACGGACAGTTACCGCAGACGGGCTACGGGGATAATGAGTCGATGTACGAGCGCCACTTGAAGACATCTTTCATTGTCTCTAGCCGTTGATTACGATAACCCCGATGTCCCCATCTGGAGAGCTGAACCCGATCTGTGTAAGCGAGTCTCCTAGTAAAGGTGTCAGTTTGATCGCCTATTTCTCATCCATTTGCTTCGCAAACATCGCGCGCCGTGGTAATTCATTTGGTGACACGCCTCCAACCAACGTTGTCTATGGAGGTCAACTAATTGCTCCAGTAGGCGTCTGCGACATTTTCGACAATCGCATTTAGATATACAAACCATGAGTTGAACAATATCTTCGTGTTTCCTCAACTGGAGCTGAACACTGCCTTGCTTGCTGAGTACGGGGCACCACCAGTTGAGCACATTCGCTAATCAGCTCTTGTGTATCGCTGATATGAAGGCTTGCAGAATGTGAGGCCTTTTGTCATTTTAGGTGTAGCCAACCGATTGGATCCAGGTTGATAAGAGGCAATCGGCGATCCCGTTGATCTGTCCTCTGACGTGTCCCAGTGTCGCTTCCCATGCATGCAGTTTCGTGTTAATCATTGTTGCTTGTGCCATCCTTGGGTGTCTGTGTTTATGGGCATACGAGGCAGCAAGCCCAACACACTACACTTTCAACGCAGAATCAGTAAACTGGGCATTATGTGAATGTTCCCGCAGTCTCCCTTTTACTGTGTTCTATTTTCCCTTGAGGATTCCTCTTACTGTAATTCACGTTTGATAAAAAGTATCAGGGATCCTTTCAGTCTAGCATGGTCTAGAGCGCCTTTCTTGGTATCGATTTTAATCGTATTGACCTAATTGTTTCGTGCATACGGCATCGATCTTCCATTGTTGTCACTGCCACTTGATATGTACTTTCAACGTTGAATCGTAAGTTTTGTCTGCCGGGTATACTGACTGGTATCTAGCCACTATGTCGATATTGTTTCCAGTAGTTAAAGTTTACTTGAACTGTCTGACTTTCTTGCCTAATTGTCAAAAGCCCCACAATGGCCGTGGTAGTCCAATCAGGATCTAGCATGAAGTCATGGTATCCGTGACCACGGTACTCGGTCGTATAGGCTTCCTGACCAGCGATCTCACTGTATTTGTAATCGATAGTTATACTCCGGTACCGCAGACTGGTACTAATCATCATATAACTGGAATATATATATGTATATATATATATATATATATATACACTGGTCGCTGCCAAACTGAATGCACACTAGGTCAGAATGTATAAGGTGATCAGGGATTGAGCCAGTTTTCAGGGTCGGGGAATAAAGCGACCATATACGATCAAATCCTGGTATGTAATCCAACTGGGTGTACACGCCTCCAAGCATTCTGATATGCTAAGAAATCACAAGAACGCAGTGTCCTTCATGTCTCCAACCGAACAGCTACGGACAGTTTTGGACCCTGTGCTTCGGGCCAGGAGGCGTTTACTCTACGTAGTCACCGTGCTTCATGTCCCACCTCCACGTCTGTTGGTCTCCGCATGATTTTTCTTTGGCTTGACGTGGCAACTTCCCAACAAGGTGCTGTGGGGTTGGCGACTGTTAAGCATACATTAAGCCGGTTGAACTCGGAGCGATGGCGTATTTTCAGTTGATACATTTTCACCCACTCCAACCTGGACCAGATTGATTGTTTAAGACCTTCAGGGGATTGGCGTATTCTCCCGATTTTAAGGTCTTAACCGTAAGACGTAACTGACCGGATGGTGTCGCGCTATACGCTATATCAGTGAAACGTCACGTCATCACGGGAGCTTCAGTCCTGCATACACTGTTCGCGTCTTGGAAACACGAGCATTTATCTCCTGTACTGTGCTACCGCTGTTGACCACGCAGCTGCCTAATGCGGAGCATTCAACTGTATCCAATTCCTGACCATCATCATCATCGTACAGCGAGATACAGTGAAGCGAACTTTCGGACCATCCTGTTTCTGAGCAGGACTAGTCGACACCCAGTCTTGCACCATCACTTTACACTTCGAAGGTGCGAAGCGCGTGCCGAACTGAGTTACACAACCTGTCAGTCTATCAAGAGCACTTCGCGCGTCCTCTGTACGTTCGAACAGAAATGACATAGTCAGCTCTCTCTAAATCGTACATCCAGCCAACGTCCCTGCCATCCAGTTCTTCTATACGGCGCAGCAGATTGTCCATTAAGAAAGCAGGATACAGATAGACTGTCGGTGTTTGGACACTGCTGTCCACACAACGTTTCACGAATCTGGTGGGACAACCCGACGAGCAACGGTGAGGTTGGGTACGGAGTTTTGGTTAACCGCGGTCGCCCACTGGAGCAAGTGGTCGACTTCCATGGATTACGTTGCTTGAAACATGTGTCACGTATGTCACCAAAAGGTTGCCATGGCGAGCGATGTTTGCCGAGGCAGGTGGTGGTTGGTTCAACCAAGACCTTGTTCGCGGGTATGAAAGCAGTAAACAGGAGCCTAGAACCCGTTAGGCTCTGGTTGGGGCCCTCGGGATGATCGTAACCGGTGATTAGAGACACTGAGTGACATGGCTAAGTGTCGTAAACAGTGGCGTCCATGCATCTCATTTTCTTTGCAGCAATAGACCACCGAAATTCTCCATTTTCGGTTTGACTCTACTTTCAACCTTCCTGTCTCTCTCTTTCTGTTCATCCAAATGGGCAGCCAAAAACAATCACCAAAACTGGCGCACGAAAGTGCATGGTTAATGGCTGTACAGACTAAAACTGAAACCTGCAACCTTCTTCATCTTGTCATTTTCCGTCATGAAACTGATTTGAATATTCCCATCTTCCCGTTACTCCATTCAAATGAACAGCCAAAGTCACCGCACGAAAGAGCATAGTTAGCAGCTGTATGAACTGAAACAAACTCGCCGGGGTGAGTGTCTTGAGTAGTCGCTTCCGTTTCACCTCACGAAATACTTTTATGCTACCGAGCCTATCAAATAACTTCGTACGGAAGTCCTCTGTCTTTGTGATGTTTTCCCATCAAAATAAGGGGACGACAATTCAACATGGGAGGCTATGGCGGGGTTGATGAACCCCTGGCAGTTCGCCCAGT